TTCTTTAGGAAATACATTTTTCTAAGCCCTTTTGGCTTATACTATTTCTGCTTATTGACTTCTATCCTGACACTTGTCTTTCTATGTGACTTGGTCCTTTCAATAATAAGAAAAAAAAAACATATCTGAGCAAAAGTAATTTACCTGCATAGTTAGCTTAGTATTCACAAATCATTTAATATGCATTACCACTTAGAATAAAGAAGAAAAGTCACTTCGGCGTTCCAAAAATGATCTCTGCTTTCCTAATTCAGCAAGATGGCTGTTTTCCACTTCCTATTTTACAAGTTGGAAAGTCCCTCTAGGCATGAGGCCAAGACTGTTCTAAGGCTCAAATTACTCATTTATTTTTTCCTCTCAGGGATCAGATTTCTAAGTTGTTTCTTGTATAACAGCTAGAATCCTTACCTCATTTAATTTACACATTTTCTAAATGTCCATGATATTCTATTTTGACCGCAGAGTTACATCTTAAAATATATCACTCTATCTATCAGGGTGGAATACCGACAACTGAGAGGCTGGAGGCAAAGCAATCATGAGCTCAAGGCCAGACTCAGCTACACAGCAAGTTCAAGGCTAGCCTGGGCTACAACAGACCTTGCCTCATAGATTATTTTATTTGCCCTATGGGACAGAACATGGGGAAGCAAGAATTATATATCAGGCCGGGCAGTGGTGGCGCATGCCTTTAATCCCAGCACTTGGGAGGCAGAGGCAGGCAGATTTCTGAGTTCAAGGCTAGCCTGGCCTACAGAGTGAGTTCCAGGACAGCCAGGGCTATTCAGAGAAACCCTGTCTCGAGAAAAAACAAAAACAAAAAAAACAAAACAAGAAACTATTTTTTAAATTAGGCATAGTGGCATACACCTTTAATCACAGCACTTGGGAGGCAGAGGCAGGTGGATTTCTGAGTTCGAGGCCAGCCTGGTCTACAGAGTGAGTTCCAGGACAGCCAGGGCTACACAGAGAAACCCTGTCTCGAAAAACATATATATATATATGTTCAATCAGAGAATCCAATGAAGAGTTCAATGCATGGATTTGGACAGCAGTAGGAAAACTGCAAATAAATGAATAGACTCAGCATGTGTTTTGGAATTGGAGTCGTCGGACTTGACACGTTAGCCATCGAAGAGTGTAGCAGAGGGGAGGGGAGGGGCGTTGGATCAAGTATTTAGGTAGGTGGCAGTGTCTTAACTGTAACATGGAAGACTTGAGGTTGAACAGTTTGGAAATCCTCCGACGCGAATTTAGAGCTCATAAGTTAATCTAAGAAAAGAAACTAGCCATACAACTGTACCATATAGAGGCAGGCACGAGGGTCAACAACAGGGCTTTCCCAGCATGGGCTAGGGACGTGGAGTAGAAGACAGAACATTAAAGAAAGAGAGAATGACACAGAAACTAAGAGAGAAGCAATAGGAAAAGGGAAAGAGCCAGGAGTAGTTCTACCTTTCCAATTCCCAATCCCGTCTCTTCCCAGGTCCTCACGGGAGCACTCCCTTTAGCAGAACAGCCTCCAGCCTCCGTTCTTGCTCAAGCTAACTAGCACAGCCTCTCCAAAGCTAAGAAACTTAATTAAAATACTTTGGTTTTGCTTGACATGGTAGCACTTGCTGACTGAGCTCAGGAATTTGAAACCAACTTCAGCAACACAGCTCCTTAAAAAAAATTACTAGCCGGGCGGTGGTGGCGCACGGAGGCAGAGGCAGGCAGATTTCTGAGTTCGAGGCCAGCCTGGTCTACAGAGTGAGTTCCAGGACAGCCAGGGCTACACAGAGAAACCCTGTCTTGGAAAAAAAAAAACTGTAATTGTATCTCTTAAGATTTTTATTTTTTTTAATTATTTGTATGTGTGTGAGAAGGGGGCACTTGAGCACATGAGTGTAACCTGGCAGAGGTCAGAAGATGACATCAGATCTTCTGAGTCTATCCAAGTGAGTGCTGGGAACCAAATTCAGGTCCTCTGTTACAGCAGTGTCTGTGCTCTTAACACTGATCCATCTCTCCAGCCCGGTATACCTTTATCTGCATACATACATTTTCCCTGCATTGCTCTGCTGTTTTCTGGAACTCAATCATGAAATGCAGGCATTTCTTACATAGTATATTGTGAGTTGTGTATAAATAACGAGTATGAATGCGACTGGCTAATTTTGGATAAGGTTTGCATTTTATGAAGGTTTTAAAGAACAGGGTCTCACTGTGTAGCCCATGCTGGCCTGGCACATACAATTCCTCTGTCTCAATTTCCCATGTACTGGGATTACAGGAATGGACCACTAGACCTGGTTTTACATAAACCTGGGGTGGGGGTGGAGGGTATACTGGTAGCAAGGCAACCAGATCCATGTTAGGATCCAAAGGAGGGTGCTGTATACTGTGAGGAAAAGGAAACATGGGGTTCAAAAGTCCTTAATTAAGTAGCAATACTTAATCTTATCTCTGGCTTCATAAGCCAGGCCTTGGTTAGTGTTGTCCACTCGTCTGTCGCTGATGAGATCACACACTGGTCTTTCTTGGAGTGCTGTGGCTTTCCTGGCTAACTCAGGTAACCTGAGCTCCCATTAGCAAGTCTGAGACTACGTTGTGATGGTCATGATAATTTCTTAATGGCTGACTATATCAAAGAAAGGCACAGCAAAGCACAAGAAGACTATTCTTTCCACGAGACTGTTGTTGCTACACTCTGGTACTAAAGTTCAATAATTAATATAACATAACAACAAATAGTATAATAACAAAGGCTATCCCTAGGCCAGTGACATGGCTCAGTGGGTAAGGTTTGACCCTTAAATCCTATGGTGGAAGAAAAGAAGCAATCCCCAGAAGCAACTCTGGCTTTCATACACATGCTTGGCATATGAGTCTCTACATTCTCATACACACATCATATGCACACAGTGCTATTAAATAAAATTTTAAACCTGTACCTAACAGTTTATTGGCATATTATTTTGTTCCTCCAAAGCAAAATAAAAAGTAGGAGAGTAGGTAATTTATAAAAAACAGAAGCGCCGGGCAGTGGTGGCGCATGCCTTTAATCCCAGCACTTGGGAGGCAGAGGAGGCAGATTTCTGAGTTCAAGGTCAGCCTGGTCTACAGAGTGAGTTCCAGGACAGCCAGGGCTACACAGAGAAACCTGTCTCGAAAAACCAAAAATAAAAAAAAAAAAAAAAAAAAAAAAGAAAAACCAAAAATAAAAGAAAGAAAGAAAGAAAGAACAGAAGCTCATTTCTGCTGGGAAGTCCAGGGGTCACGTTGTGGCAGAAAGGATGAATCAAAGAGTAGAAGTTCATTCATATACTTTTATCTTATTTATTTATTTATTATTTATATGAGTACACTGCAGGTGTCTTCAGACACATACTAGAAGAGTGCATCGAATCACCTTATAGATGGTTGTGAGCCACCATGTGGTTTCTGAGAATTCAACTCAGGACCTCTGGCAGTCAGTGCTCTTAACCACTGAGCCATCTCTCCAGCTCAGTTTTTTTATTTTTTTATTTTTATTTTTGTGTATGTGTGTGCTGAGGATTGAACTCAGGACCTTAGACATGTTAGGAAAGCATGTTTCTACTGAACTGTATTCCAGGTTCTACAACCTCTTCAATTGCATTTTCAGGGGTGCCTGTGCAAGCCTGTAACTCCAGCATTTGGGAGGTGGCAGGAGGATCAGAAGTTCAAAGTTGTTTTCAGCTATGTAAACAGTTCCAAGCTATTCTGGGCCATATGAGAACCCATTTCAAAGCAGGGGCAGGGGGGACAGGAAGATGGCTGAGTAGGTAAATGCATATTGTAAGGACATGAGGGCCTAAGTTCAAACCCCTAGCACCCACATAAAAAAGCCAGATGCCAGATCCCTTGCCTGTTATTCTAATGCTCAGCAAGCAGAGGCAGGGGGATTGCTGGCCCAACCACTTTCACCAAAACTGAGAGCTCCAGGGTCAGTGAGACATCCCATGTCTTTTTTTTTTTTTTTTTTTTTTTTTTTTTTTTTTTTTTTTTTTGTGGTTTTTCGAGATAGGGTTTCTCTGTGTAGCCCTGGGTGTCCTGGAACTCACTCTGTAGACCAGGCTGGCCTCGAACTCAGAAATCCACCTGCTTCTGCCTCCCAAGTGCTGGGATTAAAGGCGAGTGCCACCACTGCCTGGCTAGACATCCCATGTCTTAAAATAAGGAACAGAGTCATTGAGGAAGGCATCTGAAACTGACCACTAACCTTCACAGATATGCACTCGTGCACACACACATACACATGCACGCGCGCACACACAGGCATGCACAGGCACACACACACATGCACACACACACGCGCACACACACACAAAGCCCTCATGATTAAAGCACCCCTCACAAGGTTCTACATCCCAACACTGCTCCATGAGAATTAAATTTTCAACATCCGAATTCTGGGGACACCTTCAAGACATAACACACAGTAATATTTATCATGCACTGGCCACTTACTATCCATCCTAACTTCACTAGTAACCTGTTATCTTTCCTAACCACCCTCTGACATAAGTGCTTAGCCACATGGCAGTCCCTGTTGATATTTAGGATAAAGAAGAAACTAAAACACAGTAGTCTGTTCTTAACTAAACAGATTTTTTTTTTCAATTTGGCAGAACAGTGAATTCTTGTATAGTGTTAGAATTTCTCATTTGTTATATGTTAGATTTTTTTAAAGGCTGTTAATTAAGGAAACAAAAGTAGTTGTTTCAAATTAAATTTAGCTTATACATATACTAAAACTATATGAGACATTTGTAATAATTTCCCACATGTTTATACATTGGATCATGTAATTCAACACCTTATAACAATTTGATTTAAAGTTAGTTATTTAAACTATTCATGACTGTTTGCAAAGGAACTCAAAACACTTGTATTTTTCCATAAATTCTTGAGACATATGTATCTATAAATCATATTACATAAGCGTTTCATAAATCAAAAGGCTAACATTGGTTTCATATCAATGTCCTTTTTACCTGTTTAGAAGGGTCTCTACTTCTTGAACTTCTGCGATGGTCTCTTCATCATCAGGAAGGACACGGGGCTGAAATTTTCTATCTTGGAAATCATACAGCATCACAATAATAAGGCTGTTCAACTGATCTGCCTACCAAGGGAAAACACACATGAAGGAAACTGAAGAAACAATATCCAAGGGCTTGAGATACAACTCAGAGTAGAATGTTTGCTAGTCTGAATGAAGCCTTAGGTTTGATTCCCCCAAGTGTGAGAGTGAATATGGATGATAGCAATATTTTTTTATTGTTACTTTTAATAACAGAATAAGAACATGATCATTTTTACATAGTATAAGGTTAGATTTAGGAATAGAGGAGGTCTTCGAAAGAAAAAGTATCTAGCTTGACAGGAAAACCTTCTAAAAAAAAAAAAAAGACAATTTGAGATACGTGAGTCAAAGACACAGAGCCGGGTCTACAGAGTGACTTCCAGGACAGCCAGGGCTATACAGAGAAGCCCTATCTCAAAAAACCAAAACCAAAACAAAACGTAAGTCTTAGAAATAGAAAAGAATATATATTTTAAAGAAGTTTCAACATAATGCAAACTATTATTTAGATCTGAGGGGGTTTGCATACTTTCTCAGCACAATGAGGCCAACTAATTCTAAAAATTATTTACTTACGATTGTAGTACTTGAGAAGATATAGCTATCTATTAGTATAGTTTCCAAAATATCTTGATCTGAAAGACAAGGGAAAAGCCTGCTACCCAAAATATCAAATCTGAAAAGAAAGACTTTAAATTAAATATACTTTCTAAGTAATGTTGTAAAATTATTTTCATATCTAAAATACACCTCAACTGCTAATAAATCATAAATTACAACAGCAAGGTGAAATAGTTATAATCTTCATGAATCCTGCACTCTTACGGTTCAGGTTCTACATAGATTCAAAGCACTATCTGAATAATTGAAGTAGTCATAAAGGAATTCTAACCATTAATTTATGACCTTTGAAAAGCATTAAAGAAGATAGAGGTAATAATATTAACCAGTAGGGGGCTCTGGAGAGGTGGCCGCGCAGTTACAAGCACTGGTTGCTCTTCCAGAGTATCCCGGTTTGATTCCCGGGACCCAAATTGTGACTCACAACTAGCTGTAACTCCATTCCCAAGGGAATTTGGTGCCCTCTTCTGGCCCCTGATGGCACTACATGCACAACCATGTACATGAAAATATTTAAAATGTTAAACAACCTTTCTCTTTTCAGTTTTAAGTATTTCTGACATGTTGTATCAATTATCAAGTATTAATATTTTGTCCTGGGTTTTTTGTTCTGCTTATGAGAGAGGTTAGTTTATTTGAACATCCTTGCTGGTATTACTTATCAATGTTCTTTTTTTTTTTTTTTTAAAGATTTACTTATTTATTTATTATATATGAATACACTGTAGCTGTCTTCAGACACACCAGAAGAGGGCATCAGATCTCATTACAGATGGTTGTGAGCCACCATGTGGTTGCTGGGATTTGAACTCAGGACCTCTGGAAGTACAGTCAGTACTCTTAACCACTAAGCCATCTCTCCAGCCCACTTATCAATGTTCTTGCTAGCCTTATGATGGGAAGTGTTTGTCTTCCTCTATTCTTTCACACATCTTTTATTAGACACAATTCTAACTTAAGTATCTGATAAAACTCATTAATGAAGGCCCAGATGAAGTATTTAATCTAAGACCCAAATGACAGGGGTTTCCATGTACACAAGGACAGTAATCCAAACAGCAAAAGGACAGTAATCCAAACAGCAAAGAACAGAAAAACCACTGCATAGGTGCTGGGCAGAAACTGAAAAACGTATTTGTAAGCCTCCCCCAGGTACTTTTTGATACACTTAAACTATAAACATCATGTATGTTTTAATAAGGCAAACAGGAAGTAAGCCCTAGCTTTAATTCATTCAACATTTATGGAAAAAAATAACTTATATATTGTAGACACTGGATTTCAGTCTTTATTTGGGAAATGAAAAAAATCAAAGAAGACTAATTTCAATGTGGACACTGCAGTTCTCATAGGAAATCTTTTGGGAAACATTATACATATTTAAGCCACCAGCTTTGGAGACAAGTACCATTCTCATTTCATTTATAAGGAAAATCTCCGTTTTTGTCACAGAAGCTATAATTTCTATAAGTGTGACAGACTTCTGATGTGGAAGGCGTGTGTAGGCTCTAAAATGTTGACCACGGGAGTGATTATACAATCACAGGGGCAGAATGAAGGAAAGCAGTACATGATTTCGGCAGTGTCACACTTGTTTTTTGGGACTCTTACAAAAACAGAAACCTCTGACTACCTTCCGTATTGTTCAGGAAGCATTAGCTTTAGATATCTAAAGTCGTATAACATTCTTACTCTGAAATATCAATTTAAATAATAGCTATACTTTATTCAATGTATTCTATGTTTTGGGCAGGTGAAAGAAACTTGACACCAATATAGACAAAATAAAAATAAATAAGTCTACAAAGAAACATATATATACATACATATACATAATATACATACACACATGTATGCATATATATATATATATATACTTTGACAGCTCACCTCATAATATCTGGTTATGTCCTATCTACAGTTTTCCTTACACTTGGAAGTTGGCAGTTAGCTGCCATGAAGAAGCTCTGGAAATTTGAGTCTAGGACTTTGAAGGCAAATTAGGAAGGAGAATCCTACTTAAATTTGGCACTCCAAAGTAAAGCTATTGGCTAAGAATTAAATAATCTTGATTGGGTTGGGTTGACTTAGTTGTAGCATTTACTGTTTAAAGACTGTACTTTTCTTCTGTCTCTCTGCCGTCTCCCTTGAATCTGTCACGCTTCATGAACTTAAAATACAAGGCGTGATTACATGAGAACATAGTGGAACTACACGGGGAGGGGGGATGATTAAAGTGTCGATTCCTCCTCTTCCCATTAACGGAATTGTTTCCTGGTTTCGTTGATATTTGTTCTTTCCTTTTTCGTTTTAAGAAGGGCCTGGCTCTAGAGCCCATCCTGACTTGGAACTGCAAATTCTCACTGCTCAGCAGCTGGGATTGCAGGCCTATACAACCATGTTGGCTCCTGTTCGTTTATTAATGACTGCACTATACCTGTCCAAGGACAAGTGCAGTAAAACTCTCTACTTTCCCTTAGGACGCTTTCATTTTTAGACAGTTGTAATTAACCAAAAATACACACATGACTGGCATGTTTGAGGGGCTAGGCTACATTCTGCATTCCATTAATTTCCTTGCTTTCTCCCTCATTACGCCCCCTCTCCTCACCTGCCTCCCTCCCCTGGCCCCCCTCCCCCCCACCCCACCCCCACTTCCTGAAACAGAATCTCACTTTGTGGCCCAGGTTGGCCTTGAACTGAGAGCATAAGCCACCATGCCTGGCTTTGCTATTTTCTTTTAGCGCTGACCTTCAAAATGGTATTACTCACACTTCAAGGTACTGAAAGCCAACTCATAGGATAAACGCTGAAAAGATTCATCCTCGGCGTGGGTCGAGGAGGTCCGCAGGGGTTCATTTCCGTAATTTATTATGACTTTGTCTGGCGACCTTTGGATTCGAATACCCTGAAAAATGTTTGCTGCCATAACGTACACGGAGTCTGGATAGCTAGGTTTTTCTAAGACGACAATTGAAGATTTTCTCTTGTCGACTACACCCCCTGACATCTCCAAGGAAGCGAGTTGGGAGATCTCCTCCATGTTTTCTTTGTCAAAAAAATCCATGTCACTCTTTGGGTCCTGCATGTTTCCCCCTGATGTCAATAACTCAAGCTTCAGGTTCAATTCAGGTGGTCCAGGGAGATTGCTATCCTTGTAGTCTTAAGCATTGTCTCTGAGGAAAAAAAAAAAGTTTATCTTAGTAAATCTCTGTTTCTACAGCACCTCTTGATGACCTCTTTCTTGTGACCTTATAGGCGTGGCATGTACTAACCCATCAGAACATCCCATACCTCCAACTACAAGGAAAACTTGCACTCGGGGATGGAAGGGACAGCTGGAGAACCTCACCGACGACGACGACCACCACCACCCCAGAGTGAATGTTGCCACAACCCATTAAGGACAGGCCTACTAGGTCCTCCTGGCCTCGCATCCTCAGCATCCAAGCGAGTTAAAGGTCCTATCACCTTCTCCATGAATCCGCCCTTCTCTGGAGTTTGGATGTTTCCCGGGGCTCTGGGGCTGAAGACGCGGCAGCCTCTGCTCTTGGGGCGATGGAGGCGGTACCAGCCCTCGGGAGCCCCGGGAGGCCGCGGCCCGCGGAGGCCGTTTGGTTCAAGTGCAGCCACACCACCCGCCGGGTTCGGGCCGGGGGAAAGCGCTCGGTGCCCGCGCCAGCTACGTTCGGGGGTCCCTGAGGGAGACGCTGCCTCCTGGGGCGCGCCCTCGCGCTCCGGGGGACACTGCTCAGGCCGGGCGCTCGGCTCTCTCCGGGTCCCTGAAAGAAGGCGGAGCTCTGAGTCCTTGAGGGGGACACTTCTGGTGACCGCCCTGGAGCTCGCTGCCGCCCTAGTGGGTATGGCAGCAGGGAGCAAGGAGTTGGGTCCACACACAGGACCCTGGATGCGGAAATTTCCGTCAAGTGTCCCAGAGGCGTGGGCGGGTCCCACATGGTGCCTGGATCTCCATGGCAACGGGAGGGCGGGTGCGTGTGGCTACGCTCCAGGCTTTCTCCCGTGGGATCTAGCAGAAGTGACTCTTCACCAGTTTCTTGTACTTTCGCTGTCGGGTGACAGCCGTTCAGTCCCTCTTGAAAGTTCAGGCCAGGGTTCCTGGGCGCTCTGGCTTGGTCTCCTTCATTAAGCACTCAGAGATATTTTGAAGTAGGTGGTGTAGTTCCGCGGTTTAACTCTCAGGAACCTGAAGCCCGGTTAAAATGCAGATGACTGGATCCATCATCAGGGATTCTGAGTCTGGGCATGGGACTCAAGAATTTTTTTTTTTTTTTTTTGGTAACTCTTGTAATCCCTGTGCAATTAGCCCAAAGGCCACAGCATGGAAGACTATTTCTTCTGCCCTGCAGTATCTTACCAACTCAGTAAACCTTTGAGAAAGGCAAGGTCTCCCCGTAGGTGGCCCCTGTTACTTTAATTGCTTGGGATCTTTAAGGTCGCTTACACACTCGTGTGTGTGTGTGTGTGTGTGTGTGTGTGTGTGATTGCTTCCCATTATAGTTTCCCTTTCTTCCCCCCACCCCAGCCTCCCCTTCCTTTCCTCACTTCCCTCTGCGCCCTCCCCCAACGCCAAACTCAGGTCCTGATTTTTCTTCCTCAACCTCCCTAGTACTGGGATCAGAGGCCTGCACTCCCATGAAGATCCTCATTGCCTTGAAAAGTCTCTCCTGGTAAACGCCTACAAAATCCTTGAAACTCGGCCTTTTTCGACAGGTGCATGTGTCAGAATGTAAATTTAGTTGCTAAGCCAGAGATTCAAAATAACAGTGGGCTTAAACCCAGTGGAAAGTAGACACCCAAGACCCTGTTGGCACTGGCTTGGTGGTACTGGCCTTAAATCTCAGCACTTAGGAGGCAGAGGCAGACAGATCTCCATGAGCCCAGCCTGGTCTGCACAGGAAGTTCCAGGCCAGGCCAGATTACATAGCAAGACCCTGTCTTAATCATCCTCATCCTCTTCTGCATCTCCATCCCCTCCCCACCCCATTCCTTGTTGGTCTGACTCTCTTACCCAAAGTCACCAGGGACCCAGGCTCCTCCTAGGGGTTTCACCCAAGGACTATGTCTTTGTCAAGTTAGTGTAAGATGGCTCATCCCAAGTCTACTTGCAGGCAGTGATAAAGGGGAGAAGGGGGAGGAAGGAAGACAGCGTGACCATACCTTCCAAGGGGGGGACTAGAAAGACCACTTGCTTGGTTTCCACTCCTGAATTAGTCACAGAGTTATGCTTAATAACGAAGGCTGGGAAATGCATCCAACTAAAACTCAAGGGAACTATTCCTGGGGAATTCATAATGACAGAAAAGTGTTTTTCTGTTATATGCATACCTCTTCCCCCTGATTTGAACAAGTATTTATTAAATCTTACTTTCTGCTTGTCATTGTGTTCAGCACTGAAAGCAGAAAGCAAACATACAGACAGGACCAGGGACAACATGATAGGAGGGGAACTGAGATTTTGGCACCCTTCGTTTCTCATTATACCTTGTGTACATACCTATTTTGACCTTCTCTCTTTCTAGATACAAAACACACACTCTAAAATAGTCCTGCTAGATCTTTAGCTTCATTTTATTACATACCTCGTTTTTCTAAGATGCTGAGCCAAATGCTACGGTCACAGAGATTACAAATATGGAAGGTCGCTTGGAGGTCGTAATATGTTTTACTGTGTATCTATCACACAGTGTACAGTCTAATCTGTAGGGAATGTGAGACGCTAGATAGCTATGAACTTTTAAGTATTGTCTTTCGGCATATAATTTGAAGAACTTCTTTTTATACGGTAGTTCAATGTTTGCTGTATTGAAAATGAGATTGAAGAAAAGCCACACTTCCTAAGCAGAGCATAGGCAAGTAGCTGTGTTAGTAAAGTCATGGTGACTATAATCCCACTGCCTTAGCAATTCCGGTTTTTGGCCTCGTTGTGGACTTGCTGTACTGGAAGTGAAGGCTACAGAAAAACATATTAAATTTCAGAGTATAGCACAAACAGGTAACCATAGGGATAAGTCTATGCATTCAGTTGTTGTGAAAGTTGGATAATAAAAATAGGTAGTCTTTGTCTAAATCACACTCTGTAACATGACCAGAACATTAGTGTGGAGATGATACAGAATTAAAAATTAAGACAGCTAGGGCTTTCTGCCTGCTAAAGGAACTTAAAGAATGGTTTCCCTCAAGAAGTAGAATATTCGAAATATTTATATATTAACATTCCTTACATTTGACTGAGAGTACTAGTATAATTTATCCATGTAATATTTGACTACTTGCTTAAACTTAATATGGACATAGAAAACTATGACCAGGAGCTGGAGAGATAGCTCAGTGGTTAAGAGCACTGGCTGCTCTTCCAAAAGACTTGGGTTCAATTCCCAGCACGTACATGGCAGCTCTCAACTGTCTGTGACTCCAGTTTCAGGGGCTCTGACACCCTCATACAGATATACATACAGGCAAAACACATATGAACACAAAATAAATTTTTAAAAAATATTTAAAAAGAAGAAAGCTATATCCAGTTCCACTGGTGCATGCTATAGAAGACAGGAGAAATACAAGATGCAAAGGGTTTAAATGAGTCATCTTAAACACTGGGCCTCAACTTACTATTGATTCTTGAAAATAGCATTATTTGTCTTTTCTAATATAAGATTTTTATTATTTGGGAATTTCACATAATGCACCACAATCCCACTCACTTCTCAATCCTCTCAGGTCTTCCTGTCCACCTGTGACCTCCTCCCCCAAAGGAGGAAGAGGAGGAGGAGAAGAAAAAGAACAGGAGGAGGAAGGGAGGAGGAGATGAAGAGGAGGAGGAGGAGGAGAAAGACGAGGGAAAAGAGAAGTCAGAGGAAGAGGAAGAAGAGGAGAAGAAAAAGAACAGGAGGAGAAGGGGAGGAGGAAGAGGAAAAGTTGGAGGAAGAGAAGGAGGAGAAGAGGAAGAAACAACTCAAATCTGTGTTGCCCATATACTAGCTGGAGCATGGCCAGCCCCTTAAACAATACTGATCTCTCCCTACTCCACTACCACCCTCTTCCCCCAGAAGCCATGGAGAGCTACACTTCAGCATCCTTATAATTTTTAAGCATTCTCATCCATGGCTGTTTTTTTTTTTTTTGAGGGGGTTTAGCGACCTGTGTGTAGGTGTGGTCACAGAAGCCTTCTATGTACAAAACATATTGTTTTTTGTTTTGTTTTGAGACAGGGTCTCACCATGTAGCTCCAGCTAAGCTGGAACCTAAAGAGATCCAGCCTCTGCCTCCTCTGCAGAGGTGAAGGTGCGTGCCACCATGCCCAGCATGTGGTTAACTTCCGTTACTGCACTTTTTGTCCTCCCTTCTTTTCACATGTCCCACAGGTTCATTTTTAAAGGCATGGATTAAGAAGAGATAACATGGAACACAGAAGTAAAAGATAAATAACAGCCTGGGATACCTGGCACACACCTTTAATCCCAGTACTTGGGAGGCAGAGGCAGGTGGATCTCTGAGTTCGAGGCCAGCCTGGTCTACAGAGGAGTTCCAGGACAGCCAGGGCTACACAGAGAAACCCTGTCTCGAAAAACCAAAAAAAAAAAAAAAAAAAAAAAGATAAATAACAATATTTTTGTGGGATTATGTTATAACCGCAACAAAGTAGTATAGAGAATGCCCTGTATGTACAAAACCCAATAAATTAAAAATGTGTTCCTTGAACATGGCTAATCGTGGCAAGTCTAAAAATTCTACTGATCAATAGCCTCATTAGGATTGATAACTGTTCGTGGTGTACTCTTATCCATTCCTTTCCCTGTGGCCTAGGTTGACCTTGAGCTTTGTGTGTTGCGAAGGATGACATTGAACTTCTAATCCTCCTACCTTAATCCTCTTAAATTCTGGGATTACAGGTGTGTCATCACACTCAGTTGATATGGGGCTGGGTACTGGACCCAGAGCTTCATGCACGCTAGACAAACATTCTACCCAGTGAGCTACATCTCCTGGGTATGTTTTGGTTTTAAAAAGTCAAAATATTCTGCCATCTGCATTTTATTCACTTTATGAAAAAGGTAAGATATGATATCTAGTGAATATCTTTGCCCTAATATTAAGCATGCATAGTCTAATAGACACAGGATTCCCTTGAGAAATGTCAGGGCTCGTTATACACGGTCCTAGCATTTAATTATGCTTATAACTACAGAGAGGAAACGTGAAAAATTAAGTTATCATTTATTCTTCACTTGAATTTTAAGTTTAAGGATCATGTGGCTGAATAAAGAAGATGTGATACAGGGAAAGGAAAGCAAAACCAAAAAGAAGATGTGATGCCCGCACACACACATATACACACCCCATGGAATGTGATCAGACCACACGAAACCCTTCCATTTGCACAAAAATGGACAGAAACATATCATGTCATGTCATGTTACAGGCAGGGTGTGTTTCAGACTCTGCAGCAAAGTAGGGTGACTATACTATATAGAAGCTATATACTTATATGTATACTTATATATGTCCTGGAGGAGAACTCGAAGAGAGGCTCAGACTACAGACGTAAATGATTAAAGAATAGAAATCCTAGTTACCCTGATTTGGTCATTACGTATTATATACACATGTATCGAACCATCAGGGAAGCATGAGGAAGTGAAGGGTTCCAGGGAGAGTGGAGGACAAGAGAGGGGTATGGAGGCTGTGTATGGTCAAAATACATCATAGACACATAAAAAAGAGATAACACATAAATAGGTCCATGAATATGTGCCAATAGGCATGTTAGTGACAACGAAAGCTGAGGGCCATGTAGCACAGTATGAAATGGTGGGAAGGCCTATTTAACATTTGGATAGAACTAAATAAACATTTTCTATTCCTCCACCCCACGAA